GAAACCTCACAAGCCCGAGGCCCAGCCAGACAGTGACTTCCATGCATGCAGCGCTGCCCCGTTCTGGCCTCAAGAGCACCCCGAAACAGTTTGGAACGGTCCCAACAGGTTCCCCAACTTTCAAAGCCAAGGCTCCGCCCAACAAAGGATCTTCACCCGGGGCTCCGCGGTTGGCCAGAACGCGGGCCAGCATGCCAGACGAACAGCCGCATTCAGTCCACAGGCGGAGGACATTTTGCAACATGGGGTCGGGGGGGAGGGGTCTCCCGAAGGGAAAGAAGTTAGCTGCCTCGATACGCTCGTTTTGAAACGCAACACCCACCGTGCTGAAAACGTCCAGTGTCAATGCGTTGCGTGTTGGCTCAGCGTATTGGCCCACGTTTTGGCGAACGTATCGCGTCATACCTACGTTTTCAGTATACGTGTTGAGCTCCGTATCAATACGCTACGTGTTGCGTTTTGCGTATTGAGGCAGCGGAGGAAGAGGTGGAGTTAGACGCGCTGGATCCTGAATTACCCATGCCGAAAGTGTTCGTGGGGGCATGAAATTGGTTCGACGCTCCCTAGCCACACTGCTGACAAGCCGTACCAGCCGCATGGCCAATCAACGGTAAACCTCACCTGGCGTCGCTCTTCATGAACCAAGGAATAGGTAAACGGCGGCATCCTCATACATTATTGGAGCATGCTCGTGTCTCATGTTTTCCTCGCGTTGGTCTGACCTCCGGCGCAGCTCGCAGGTATTTTTGCTTGCTCGTAGCATTATTATTGTCCATTCCGCCGCGCGGCCCCACATCTGAGTCTCCAGTCGGACATTCTGTATTCGCCAGCGTGGATCCCAAACACAGAGAGTTTGAGCACTGGATATGCAAGCTACGTGGAGGGAGCAACGGGGTGCAAGCTATGTGGTGGAAGCAATGGGGCACAACATATTTCATGCAAACTATGTGGTTGAAGCAACGTAGTGCAGGCTATGTGGCGGAAGCAACGTGGTGCAATCTATCTGGAGCAAGCTGCGTGTTGGAAACTATGGTGCGGAAGCATTTTTGTGGCACACGAGACGGCGACGACGCGGCGACGAGGCGGTCACGGGCGGCGACCAGGCGAAACCCTGGCAACGCCTGCAAGCGCACGAGGAAGCGACGAGCCGGCGACCAGGCGGCGACCAGGCGGCGACCAGGCGAAACCCAGAAACGCCATTTAGCGCACGAGGCGGCGATGATGCGGTGACGAGGCAGCTACGGGCCTGGAAACGACACCTCATCTCTCAAGGAGTCATGCAATTCAGAGCACCTGAGGGCAAGTATTGCTTGGGGAGAGATGACATCAGGATTCGATGGCCATCATGTTGTGCCGCAGTCCAATCGCTGGCGCATGCAGAAGAGGTAGAGTCAGTATTCACACACTTGGGAATCGGTGCACATGTGGCCTTTGTGTTCTAATCGCAATGCAGGCCAGCGTAACGGATGGCTGATTCATAGTTCCGGCACTTCCATTTTGAAGAGGATGAGTTGCCCAAACAGTGTTTGTCTTTCACTTGCGGGTTCTTCTTTCTTCTGAAAGAACTTGTTGACGCTTCGCGAATCCCCACCAGCCCATCCAGAAACGATGCCCAGAGGAATTGCCTGGATCAGGGAAGTGGGCAGCACACAGAGAAAGCCATTCTGAGACATCTTGGGATATCTTGAGCCATCTTGGAGGTCACCTTGGGCTCTCCCAGGCGCTCTTGGAGTCATCTTGATCAGTGCTCTCCCCCAAAACCTTAGTGAAATCAATGACTTGGCATTCTCGCCGAGGCCTCTTGGAGCATCTTGGGTGCCTCTGGGGGGTCTCTCGGGGCCTCTTGGGGGTCTCTTGGGGGCCTCCTGGGGGCCTCTTGGGGGCCTCTTGGGGCCATCTTGGGGCCATCCTGGGACCTCTTGGGACCTCCTTGGCGCTTCTTGGGGCCATCTTGGAGGAGATCTATCAAAGAAGTGCGGAGCATTAATTAGCGTGCCACCCCCAGGAGGCCAAAATGGGGCCAAAACCTTAGTAAACCAATGACTTGAGCTTCCTCGCCGAGGCCTTTTCGGCATTCTCGCCGAGGCCTCTTGGAGCATCTTGGGTGCCCCTGGGGGGTCTCTTGGGGCCTCTTGGGGGTCTCTTGGGGGCCTCCTGGGGGCCTCTAGGGGGCCTCTTGGGGCCATCTTGGGGCCATCTTGGGACCTCTTGGGGCCTCCTTGGCGCTTCTTGGGGCCATCTTGGAGGAGATCTATCAAAGAAGTGCGGAGCATTAATTAGCCTTGCCTTCCCAAGAGGCCAACATGGGGCCAAAACCATAGTACAATCAATGATTTTGGCTTCCTCGCCGAGGCCGCTTTGGACGTTCTGATATCTTGCGCCCCCCCCCCTCCAGGTCCACGGGTAGGGCCAGCTTGTTGTCGTCGCCGCCGTCCGACTCCGCTGCTTCTGTGCCTGGGTGTCGGTCGCTACGCTTGTTGTCGCCGTCGCCGCCAGTCGCCCCGCCCGTCGCCGCCGCCCCATTGCACCCTTCTCTGTTGCATTTGAAATATGAACTGATTGTATCCGATTGCGATCGAATATAAAGTAGTGCACGTTTAGATTGTATCACATAGCTTACACCACATATGTTGCACCATATATGTATATATACATGGGTATATATATATATAGACTTTGCAATACACAGCTTGCACCACGTATAACTACATAGCTTACATCACCTCACATCGATTGCACCACATGGCTTGCACCACATATATATATATATATATATATATATATATATTTGTATATATATATATGTACATACATCTATATATATATATATATATATATTGCTTCATGCCGATTGTGGCACGTAGCTCGCATCACATATATAGCCCAACATACCTTGCACCATCTATGTATCTATGTGTTAACCTTACCAGCTTTCACCACACCGCATTGCTTACACCACATGAGCTGATTCACATGTATTGCACAACATAGCTTTAACCACATGCATTGCATACTATAACGCACCAGGTAGACGTCACCTCATAGCAAACACCACACAACATAGCTTACACCGCATACATTGCTGATCAGGTATTTCACTACGTAGCGTACACTACATATTTTGCTTCACATATTTGTACAACATAGTTCACACCAGATGTATCACACAACTTAGATCACCCAACAGATATTGCACAACATAGCTCGTAGCTCGCACAGCGTAGATCGGAACACCTAGCCTGCGCACCACACAGCTTGCACCACATAGGCCACACTATATAAATACCATGTTATCTCCACATGTATTGCACCATATAATTTACATCGTATATTGCATGGCGAAAATTGCGCCATTTAGATTGCGACCACATCGATTGCAACACGAAGCTTATAATCTATTTCACGACATGTATTGTACCACATAGCTTAGACCACATTGATTCCCTTTTCTCAAAAAGAGAATAGGTTCTCCCCCCCTCCCCCCCCGGACTTAAAGACCCCCCGGGAACCTATGTAAAACACACAGGGTGTTGACCGAATGTCCACCTGAGAATTCATAGTATCCCAGCCAAACCGGTATCGGTTCCCACCGCCATCCTCTGCAACAAGTGCGATGCGCGCACATTCGTTTCAAACATCAGAAACTTCCAAGAATCCCTTGCAAAAGTCGGGACGAAGTGCACACGCGCGCGTCGTCGCGCGCGCATGCCGAAATCCTTCAGAAACCGTCTGTTTCGGAAGGATTTCAAAATCGAGTTTACCAAAAACATACAACAACACAGGGTTTCGCAACACTGATTTTCTGAACAACCTTATGCGCGCGCTCTTGCGAAATCAGAAGAAAACCATAGGTTTTCCAATATTTTCAAAAGTACTACCAAGCAGCCTTCCCAAGTGCGCATTTCGAAATCTTTCGGACGTCCTTGCGCGCGTGCCGTCGCGAGAATCCTCTGCAAAAAATGTAACCCAGCGCGCGTCGTCGCGCGCGCATGCCGAAATCCTTCAAAAACCTTCGGCTTCGGAATGATATCAAAATCGAGTGTCCAAAAATCATACAAAAACACAAGGTTCCGCAACACGAATTTTCAACAAAAGCGTGCGCGCGCGCGCTCTTGCGTCGTCGTCGTCGTTGTCGCCGTCCTCCCTCCTCCCTCGTCGTCGTCGTCGTCGCCGCTGTCGTCGTCCTCTGTCTTTCCTCGTCGTCGTCGTCGTCGTCGTCTTGGCGTCGTCGTCGTTTCCGTCGTCGTTGTCGCCGTGGTTGTCCTTCCTCTCTCGTCGTCTTCGTCGAAGTTTCGTCGTTGTCCCTCCTATTTCGTCGCCGTCGTCGTCGTCGTCGTCGTCGTCGTCGTCGTCGTCGTCGTTGTCTTTCCTCCTTCCTCGTCGTTGTCGTCGGCGTCGCCGTCCTCCCTCCTTCGTCGTTCGCGTCGTCGCCGTCCTTCCTCCTCCCTCGTCGTCGTCGTCGTTGTCGCCATCGTCGTCCTCCCTCGTCGTCGTCGTCGTCGTCGTCGTCTTGGCGTCGTCGTCGTCGTCCTCGTCGTCGTCTTCGTCGTCGTCGTCGGCGACGTCGTCGGCGTTGTCGTCGTCGTCGTCGACGTTGTCATCGTCGTCGTCGTTGTCGTCGTCGACGTCGGTGTCGTCGTCGTCATCGGTGTCGTCGTCGTCGTCGTCGTCGTCGTCGTCGTCGTGCTCGTTGTCGTCGTTGTCGTCGTCGTCGTTGTCGTCGTCGGTGTCGTCGTAGTCGTTGTCGGCGGCGTCGTCGTCGTCGTTGTCGCTGTCGTCGTCGGCGTCGGTGTCGCTGTCAAGTGCCATTTGGTACCCACCGTCACAGTCTTAAGAGATCTGTCGACCAAGTTGCGGGTGGGAGGGTGGGATGTTTGCACAAGCAGTGGAGAGGACAGCTTCAAGTTGAGCAAGTGATTGATTGCACCACTTAGGTTGCACCACATAGTGTGCTAGAACCCACTGTTTGGGGCCCAAGCTGGCTAACATTTGTTCAGACCTCCATCACCAATTGCCGCTGTCACGCGCTTCGCCGCAATGCCATTCACCCAGCTGGTTTCATCCCTTCACAACCTGTGTAAGTCATCGTGGCGGCCCAGTTGCAGTGGCGGCTAAGAATTTGCGTCGTCAGCATTGCATCAAGAGGCGATTTCACGAACATGGCAAATCTTCCGATGTCGTCTGTCTTCGTAGCGATGATCGCCACTGCTGACCATGGCCTGCACCATTGTCTGGGGAACCATTTCACGATGGACTCATCATAGTGACATGTGCTCTGGCCTTTGAGGTTCAAGCGTTTCGGCCAGAGCGACAGCTGCTCGAGTTATCTGCTGATTGCGCGCTGGACCTGCTTCCCACCGCGCCCGGTAAGCTTACAGACCGATGGCACGTGTTGGCAGCCGGGGTTCCTCTTTGCTCGCATTGTGCGCTCTCTTTGCGCTGAGCGGCGCGCTGCTTTCTTGTGGAAGCTCGTTTGTCGCCCCTCGGTCCATTCGTCAGCAGGACGCGCAGAGCACGCAGACCAGCGGCATGGTGGCAGGACCAAAGGCAGTCGACTCCAAGACAGGGCAGCGGACCGCGATGCAGTTCTTCTCCGGGGAGCCGACGCCGCCGCCAAAGCCGAAGGAGAAGCCCTTCAAGCTCCCGCCGTTCTTCACCACTCTCGCGTCCCTGGCCGTCGTCGTCGGCGGCTGCTTCTACTTCCTCAACAACGCCTAGTAAGGGCCGAGTTGCGTGAGGGGCATGGCACCGTCCTGGCTGAACACGCCATGAGAAGGAGACGTGTTGTTTCAACAGCGGGGTGGAACTCGGCAAGACATTTTTCATGCTGGCCCTCAGGGCCGCTTTTTTCGTCAGAGGCTTAGGAATCCGCGAGGTGCCTGTGCTAGCCCTTCCCGCGATGTTTAGTCGCTGCCACCCGGCAATTTGAAAGAGCGCGCTCTGTGGACGCTGAGGGGCTCGAACGGGGGGGGGGGGAGTTGCAAGGGGAGGGGGTCGAACCCGGGGGGGGGGGAGGTCCCTTCCCTCCCCAGTGGCAACCGACGACGGCGAGCGCCAGAGCCGGCGTCAGCGCCGTCGGGCAACGACGACGACGACGTCAAACATTGGGCTGGATCGAGTCTTGCTAGAATCCCATTGAAACTGCATCGAGCCCTAGCAGGATTCAAGTAGAGCTGGATCTAGCTATAGTGGGAATACCTTTTGAGATCGATCGAGCCTTAGTAGGATCCAATTAGAACTGGATCCACTTACAGTAGGGTTCTATCAGAGTTGGACCGAGCCCGACGAGGTTGCTACTAAAGTTGGATCCGTCCGAATTTGGATTCTACGAGAGCTGTATCGAGCCCTAGTAGCATCCGAGCTGGATCAAGCTATATCAGGATTTTATCAAAAAATGATCGAGCCCGACTAGGATGCTGCTCAAGTTAGATCCATCTAGAGCAGTATTCGATTAGCATTAATCGGATTCCATTATGGGGGGGGGCTGGTTCGAACCCCCCCGAGAGACCCCCACTTGGATATGGGGGGGGAAGGGGCGTCAGGTTTGGACCCCCGGGGGTTTGGGGTCGGGGGGGGGCCCGGTTAAAGAAGCCGGTGTCCGCGGGGGGGGGGGGGGGGAGCTGGCTCGCCGGGCGCTTCAACAGTTTTTTTTTGGGGGGGGGGCGGTTCCGACGTGTCCAGGTATTTATTCCAAGCAAGCGCAGCGCCCACGAAGCGCGTTCTCTCGGAAATCTGAACCTCGAGGCCTAGTCAGTTGCGTGCGCGACGCATGATAAAGTGGACGTCTGAAAAAGTGCAGTGCGTATGAGTGCACTCAGCCACTCTATTTCCCCTTCCGCCCTGCCGTTTCCTCATCCCCCTCCCTCTCCACGTCCTCGTCATCCTCTCCCTCATCTCTCTCTCTCTCTCTATCTCGTGATCCCCCTTCTCCTGCCCTGCTTCCCTCTCATGCTGCTCCCGCTTCCCGCTCACACTCGCCGCCCTCCCCGTTCCCCCCCTCCTCCTCCTCTTCCTCCTCGTCCTCACGAGCCAAGGCTCTGGCCCGTTCGCGCCGGCCTTCAAGGCCCTCACTCCCCCTTTCTGGGCGGACACGAGCGGGCTCCAGTCTGCCCCGCCCCTCTCCTCCTTTTTCTCCTCTTCCTCTTCCTCCTCATCCTCATCACCATCACCATCACCGTCACCATCAACATCATCATCATCAGCAGCATCAGCAGCATCAGCATTAACATCAGCAGCACCAGCAGCATCAGTTTTATCATTTTTGCCACCATCGCCACCATCATCACCATCACCACCATCATCATCCTCATGACCCCATTATCACCACATATATATATATAATATGAGCACATATATACACATGTAGCACCACATAGAATTCACCACACCACATTGCGTACACCACATTCGGGGGAGCGTAAGACCCGGGTTTGCCAGGACTCGGGTTCGCCATCGTTTTTTGACGACCGCGACTCGGATTTTGACGAGGAGGAGTTTTGTGGGATGTCTGCAGCGGGAGGCCTCGTCAAAATGCAGGCTCGGCCTCGTCATTTTTTTGACGACCTCGTCGGGGATTTCCGAGTCCCCCGTACCCGGGTCTTTCGTCTCCCCGACACATGAACAGTTTGACATGTATTGCGCAACATACCTATACCTACACACGTTGCATTACGTATAATTACACCTCGCAGCAAACACCACACAACATAGCTCACACCACACATATTGCTTAACATAGATTTCAGGCGCGACATAGCTTGCACTACAACATTTGCTTCACGTAGATTGTACCACGTAGCTCACACCATACACATGCATATGCATATACACATACATATACATGTATATATATATATATATATACATGTATCTGCATATATTCTCCTTTCTCTAAAGAGAATAGACTCTACCCCCTCCGGGATTCTCCGCCCCCCTTATTGTATTGCACTTTGCATACGATTCTGCCCCATCGTCCATCCTGAGTATGAGTTCGTTCCAGCCCAGCCCGGACTGCATCCGGCGTCCCCCCCCCAGCCATCCTCTGCAAACAGTACTATGCGCACACACTCGTTTGTCAACAATCAGAAGTTCCCAATAATCCCTTGCAGCAGAGGAGACGAAGTGCACACGCGCGCGTTGTCGCGCGCGCGCGTGCCGAAATCCTCCAACCACTCGCGTTTCCGTAAGGATTTCAAAACCCAGTGTCCACAAAACATACAGCACATATGGTTTCGCAACACGGATTTTTGAAAAAGGCTTGCGCGCGCGCTCTTGCGATTTTTTTAGCCATGCGTTTTTTCCCCATCATGTTCGGAACATGCTACCAGACGGGCTTCCCGAGCGCGCATGTCGAAATCGTTCGAACGCCCTTGCGCGCGTGACGTCGCGAGAATTCTTTGCAAATGATGTAACGAAGTGCACGCGCGCGCGTCGTCGCGCGCGCATGCCGAAATCGATCAAAGACTTTCGGTTTCGTAGCGAGTTCAAAACCGAGTGTCCAACACACATATAAACACACATGGTTTCGCAACATCCGTTTTCAAAAAGCGTGCGCTCGCGCTCTTGCGAATCTTTTAGAACATCAGAGTTTGATTCCTAACGTGTTCATGGAATTCTGCCACACGGGCCTCTGGCGCCGCATGCCGCAATTATTCGCACGCCCTTGCTCGCGTGCTGGGGGGGGGGGAGGGGGAAAATCCGTGTCAAGTAGTAGCATGCGGGCCGCTCTCGCGCGCCGGCCGCGCGCGCATGTCGAACTCTTTCCAAAACCTTCATCACCGTCGCGGGGACGCCGTCATCGTCGTCGTTGTGATTAGCATCGGCGCCCGCACCAACCGCGCCGTCGTCGTTGTCAACGTCGTCACCAGCATCGCTGCTAGCATCATCGTGTCTGCCGTTGTCGACGTTGCCATGATATCGCGCCCGCCCAAGTCGCCCACTCGCACTGAAGTGCCCGCTGGGATGCGCCCAGCGGTCAGCGCCACCGCGGCCGCGTCGGTCGCGCCGGCTGGTCGCTGCGCTCGCGTGCTTGGGTTGGCGCCGCCTCAGAGATGCACCAGCCAACGCCAAGCACTCATCGCAATCGCCACCGCGTGGATTTCGCAAATCAAGTTGCGGGTGGGTGGGTGGGATGTTTGCAAGAGAATGGGGTCTGTCAGCTCGTTTGTTTAAATCAATTCCGCCACATACATCACACCACATATATAGCACAACATAGCTCACACGTCGTAGATCGGACCATTCAGCTTGCGCACCACACACCTTGCACCACAGCCCACACCATATAGTTGACCACGTTATCTCCACATGGGTTGCCCCACGTAGCTTACACCGTACATATTGACTTGCATGTATGTATTGCGCCACTTAGATTGCGCACCACATAGATTGCAACGCAAAGCTACCATACATTGCATGACATGTATTGTACCACGTAGCTTAGACCATATACATTCTCTTTTCTTGCAAGTAAGTAGATTCTACCACCCCTGGGATTATCGGTACTCCTTTTCGTATTGCAATTTACTTATGGTTCTGCCCCATCGTCCGTTCTAGATGTGAGCTCATATCATCCCAGCCAGGCCCGTATCGACCCCCCCACGAGTCGTCCCGCGCGCAGGCCGAAATCATTCAAACCATTTTCGGTTTCGTAAGGATTTCAAAATCGAGTGTCCAAAATACGTATAAACGCATGGTTTCGCAACACGGATGTTCAACAACACTTGCACGCGCGGTCTTGCGAATTCTTACGAAAGCCATGACTTGTTTCATCCTGTTCGGATGACGCTACCAGACGGGCTTCGCGCGTGCGCATGTCGAAAACCGTTCGAACGCCCTTGCGCGCGTGCTGTCGCGAGAGTCCTTTGCCAAAAATGGGACGGCACGCGCGCGCGTCGTCGCGCTCGCATGCCGAAGTCGTTCAAACATCGGAGTTTCTTTTCCTTCCAGAATCGAGTCTTCAAAACCCATGTACAAACACAATTTCTCTTCCACATCAGTTTTCATAACAGTTTGCGCTCGCGCTCTTGCGAATTGACGATCACCGTCTTTCCAACGTGTTCATGGAATTCTGCCACGCGGGCCTCTCGCACCGCATGCCGAAATCATTCGAACGCCGTTGCGCACGTGTTCGGGGGGTACGATCCGTGTCAGGGAGTACCATGCGGGCCACTCTCGCGCGTCGGCCGCGCGCGCATGTCGAATTCATTCCAAAACCTTCATCGCCGACGCGAGGACGCCGTCATCGTCGTCGGCGTGATCAACATTGGCGCCGTAACTGGCCGTGCCGTCGCCGCTGCCATCATCGTCACCAGCACCGCTACTATCAGCATTGTGTCTGTCGTTGTCGACGTTGCCACGACACCGGGCCCGCCCAAGTCGCCGACTCGGTCCGAAGTGCCCGCTGGGATGTGCCCGGCGGTCAGCGCCGCCGCGGCCGCGTCGGTCGCGCCAAAGTAGCTGGTCGCTGCGCGCGCGAGCATGCGCGGGTTAGCGCGGCCTCAGAGATGCACCAGCCAACGCCGAGCACTCATCGCAATCGCTGCCGCATGGGTTGTGCAAACCAAGCCGCGGGTTGGTGGGTGCGATGGTTGCGCGAAATGTGGAGTTGACAACTCATTGCGAGAGAAAACAAGTGGCACGCGTGCCGTGGCTCTTGCACACAGGAGGGACGAACCACCACAAACCACAACCAAAATAAAGGATTCCGCGGCCCAGAGGGGGCTGCCCTGGGAAGCCTGGACGGAGGAAGGCTCCCAAGGGTGGGCGGCCCAGGGGAGCTGGGGCTCAGGCTCAGAGGGGGGGGGCCGAGGGGGATTAACCACCACGAGCCACGACGAAAATAAAGAGTTCCGCGGCCCAGGGGGGTGCCCTGGGAAGCCTGGGCGGAAGAAAGCTCCCAAGGGTGGGTGGCTCAGGAAAGCTGGGGCTCAGGCCCAGGGGGGGTCGACGGTGGACAAACCACCACGAACCACGACGAAAATCAAGGGGCCCGCGGCCCAGGGGGGCTGTCCTGGGAAGCCTGGGCGGAGGAAGGCTTCCAAAGGTGGGTGGCTCAGGGGAGCTGGGGCTCAGGCTCAGGGGAGGGGCCGAAGGGGGACGAACCACCACGAACCACGAACCACGACGAACATATGGATGTCCGCGGCCCAGGGGGGCTGTCCTGGGAAACCTGGGCGGAGCAAGCCTCCGACGGGTGGGTGGCCCAGGGGAGCTGGGGCTCAGGCTCAGGGGAGGGGCCGAGGGGGACGAACCACCACGAGCCACGACGAAAATAAAGGGTTCCGCGGCCCAGGAGGGCTGCCCTGGGAAGCCTGGGCGGAGGGGGGGTCCCAAGCGGGTGTGGCCCAGGGGAGCTGGGGCTCAGGCTCGGGGAGGGGGGCCGAGGGGGACGAACCACCACGAGCCACGACGAAAATAAAGGGTTCCGCGGCCCAGGGGGGCTGCCCTGGGAAGCCTGGGGAGGGGGGGGGTCCAAGGGGGGGTGGCCCAGGGGAGCTGGGAAGCCTGGGCGAGGAAGGCCTCAGAGGGGGGCGCCGAGGGGGACGAACCACCACGGGCCACGACGAAAATAAAAGCTTCCGCGGCCCCAGGGGGGGCTGCCCTGGGAAGCCTGGGCGGAGGGGGGGCCCAAGGGGGGGTGGCCCAGGGGAGCTGGGGCGGCCTCAGGGGGGGCCGAGGGGGACGAACCACCACGAACCACGAGAAAAAGGGTTCCGCGGCCCAGGGGGGCTGCCCTGGGAAGCCTGGGCGGAGGGGAGGTCCCAAGGGGGGGTGGCCCAGGGGAGCTGGGAAGCCTGGACGGAGGAAGGCTCCCAAGGGTGGGTGGCTCAGGGGAGCTGGGGCTCAGGCTCAGGGGGGGGG